CCTGTTTCCCAGTGGGGGATGCTGTCCTGGGCTCTTGCCTTAGGACTCTGGCATGCTCTGTTTCTTCCTTGCTTCTGGGCAGAGGGGGCTGGACCTCCGGTTCCAAGTATTTTGAATTGCCACTGTTCCCCATCAATTCTTGGAGGGGCTGGAAATTTCAAATCAGGGTAAATTTCAGATTTGTTAAGAGCCATAATAATTCCATGTTTCTCTAATGCTTCTGTCTTTTCTCTGTGTTCTTAATAGCATTTACAAACGAATCTCTCAAAAGTAGGAAGGACGACTTTCAGAAAAATGGCAGCTATATTAAATTGAAAGTGTGACAATCACTAACAGTAGCTGGTTATCTACTACAGTCCATCAGTCCTTGGTATTGACATCAACAGCTGGTTGGTGATAAGAACACTGAAAATTCCTGTGTAAATGAACACCTGCACTTCCCTGATCCTGAAATTATCTGATTCTGTGAAATTATTTCTTCTACAATCATTTGTGAATTTCATGCCATAGTTCCTTTAAAAGAATGAGATTTCAGCTTTCAATGCTTAAAAAATCAAAACTTAACATACACCTACCACGAGAGCATTATCTGTTTCACTTAGACATTGAAGTAAGTCAAATAAAGAACCTAATTTAATTTAAGCAATTAAATTTTATGATCACATTATATAAGATCCAGGAGAGGAAAAAAATGTGATCGATTGGGAATAACTCAATACACTTAAGAGAAAATGCATTTTAAAAAGACTGCTCCTATTATCATGCATAAGATATTCTTATTCAAAGTATCATGAATGAGGCAGCAAATCTGCAAATTAATTGTTCAGAGGACAAATATCTCCAAGTTTTTTAAAAAACACCCATCATTTATTCACCTGAGCAGGAGATTCAGAAGCCCAGGAACGAGTTTGTCACTTTAGAAGACTTAAGAAATGCCTGGATAAATTCTAGCCCTAGAGGATAAAATTTCACCTACTATAAGCAATAGATAGACTAGAGACTCACGCACTTATCTCAGAAGAGCAGAGTCTAATCATTCAATCAATCAATCAATCCTCCAGAAACAGGCATGTACAGACATTTCTCAGCAGTGCCTTCACCATTTAACCAATTTTGCTCGCTGGATTGGCCACAACTCCCTAGACTCAACTTATGTCTTCACCCCACAGAGTAAACTCTTAATTATCCTCATCAGAAACTGAGCATAGATGATTTGCCCTTTTTCTGCATAATAAACCACTGACATATTTTCAAATATTAAATCATCTCAGCTTTGAATCCTCTGGTCTAAATATTCTCAATTCTTTATAGACTCAACTTATGTCTTCACCCCACAGAGTAAACTCTTAATTATCCTCATCAGAAACTGAGTATAGATGATTTGCCCTTTTCTGCATAATAAACCACTGACATATTTTCAAATATTAAATCATCTCAGCTTTGAATCCTCCGGTCTAAATATTCTCAATTCTTTATCTTTACTTCCTAGATTGTGAGCACCACATAATAAACTCACCAAATGCTGGTCTTTGCTCTGAACTCTCTCCAGCAGTTTCTGTGTCTTCTCTAAATTGTAGCGCTCAGGACTCCACTAAGAGCAGAGGCTCATCATACCAGAAGAGATTTAGCTCAAAACTCCAGAACTGCACCAAGCCAAAAGGTAAGATGCTACAATTTGTGTCTACTATATTAAGAATTAGATCAAGAATCCCAACATGTTAGAGTGCCTTTTTTTAACCTCACTGTAAAGTTCAAGGCAATGCCCCTGTTATTTCATGTTTTTCTCATTCTGATCACAATATCGATTTACCATTGCTAACAGTCTGCCTACTGTATTATTACAAAATGCAAGCCTTCACACGTACTGTAAAGATTTTGGTTGTGAGTTCCAGAAAAATAATGGGAGAACGGGAGTGGGTAAAATAAGTTCAAGGCTACACATCATTATTCTTTTTAAAAGAGGTGTTAACCCTAAATTTGCAACAAGATAATATACGGCATTTCCCTTTGTTGGAATTCTTCCTCAGCCATAAATTATATTTCAAAATGGCAAAAAAATGTTGATCATAATTTCAAAATAATGTAAGTATCAAGTAACCCGCTTGGGGCTTTTTACATGTGCAGAAGGTTTAAACACAAAATGTGTTGCAAGCCTGCCAACAAATCCCTCACAGTCTGCTGCGTGGAGGACCAGCATGCCCTTTCCTGGCTAGAACGCCAGTGGTACAGGAGACAAAGATTGCGACCAAATATGGTTTGCCTCTCGCCAAATTTTCAGCTTGACCAGTAAAAGTTAAGTTCACAAAAATCCAGCCAAGCACCACTTTTCCCCCCCAAAGTGCTTCTCGGATTAGAACACGGCGTTGAAAGTTCTGCCTGACAAAACAAATATGGTAGTAGGGAAGAGACCTGGGAGGCAATCACAAAAAGTCTCATTTAAATTCCTGGAAAGCACAGCTTCTCCAAACACAGCTATTCAGCTCTCTCTGGAAGGCATCACTTGCTGCGAGCCACGAGTTTAACTTCACTCCGTCCCCCAGCACCAGCACCATCAAACACAAACGAGATGGCTGTCACATTCCGTACTCATAGGAATGCATCAAATGTCCACTCTGTACACGGTAGAAAGTAAAGCAACCCCAAAGCGGAGTTTGTCGCCTCCCACGTGCGTAAGAATTAACACTCGGGTATTTAGGATTCTAAGGATCCCTTCTGCCCTAAACATTATAGCTGCACAGAACTAGAGAATAAAAGGCCACCATTACTGAGACACAGGGACACAACTGTGTCCACTCGTCCCCAAAGCCAAGTCCTCCTGCTCACTCACCCTCTTCAGAATTGCCTGCTTCTCCCCAAACCACCCTCAACATTCCACACACACATCTGGCCCCTTGTCGCCGAGTCTAACTCCGTGCTGAGCAGTGCAGGCTGCAGCGACACCGAGGAAGACGTCGCCCAGCGCCCGACTCCTGTGCCCTCTCTTACCAACCTTCTCCCCAAGCCGCGCCTC